ATCTATATCTATATCTATATCTATATCTATATCTATATCTATATCTATATCTATTCTATATATCTATATCTATCCGTCTTCTTTTCGTATCCATAGATCCATATCCGTACACGATATCTTTATCTAGTAACAGTTATCTGTATTTCATATCCCTATTTCAGACTCCTTTATGTATTGCTCATATACCAAATACTCTTTTCGTATAATACTTTTATTTTATTTTCCCAAATTGCAAGGGTATCTCAACGTCTTATCAATAGCTATCATTAGATTGCAATCGATTTTTCTTCCTCTTTATTTTTACTGTTTTCTTATCGGCACTGACGTCAGTTAGACCCATTTGACCCTTGAACTGTGTGTCCATGCAGCTAGTTTCACTTAGTATGTGTCTCTACACTCACACACTCACACACACGCCCCTTAGGCACTCACTGAAAAGGGGGCGTTACATGGTTGTGGGCGTGGCTAATGAACAACTTTGCATTGCATCACAGTGAGCAGCAATTAGCGCCAATAACAATTACAAATACAGGTTGTCCAGTTAGTTAGTAGCCAAGCATACGAACAACATGCACGACTGCAAGATACCCTGTAATACATTAAGTGACTAACCCAGTACAGGTAGAATGTTCTCTATGTACGCTTGGAAAGAGAATTATTTGATTACAAAATAGATTAAATTCTTCTTCTTTCCATATATCCTGTAATTTCTGTGCTCGACTAGCAAATACTCTATATGCCTGGTACATACATATGTATATGTATGTGTGCATAATTTTATATTTATATCAGTCTCTAAATTAATTAGCAATTTTTATGAATCTCTTACCCATCTCAATCGATATGCCCCATTTCCGAGAGATTTTCTATTGCTTTGCCTATTTTGTAATTAGCAAATCAATTCAATCAATTTTAGTTATATAGAGTTTTTATTAATGTTTCGTAATTGTCAGGCTATTATAGCTCTAGCTGGAGTGCCATAGCAGCGACCTAACTAAACGGACGACGTGGCTATTGCCCCTCTATGCGATTCGCATGCAAAAGCAAGATGACCTTGTGCTTAAATTACGGCACCTTATGCCACAGTCAGAGCAATATCTCTGTACGCAATTAATTGTGTAAATATCTAAACACAACACACACACACGCACACACACACATACATGAAGCTGCGCAACAGGTAAACATTTGCCTAGCTGCCACAGACACACATTAGCCCCCCGTCCCCCCCTTCAGATGGGGCCGCCTGTGCATCACTTTTTGTAGCGTTTTTTTTTTTGTGGTCTCCATGAAAATATTTTCCAAAATGTGTCTAAAAAAAATATATATTTTTTTTTTTGTATTTTACGCAAATACATACATACATATGTACATATATTTGCTTGTGAATACAAAAAATTGAGAATTTCGCAAAAAGCAAACATCGAGTGGCTCGATTTGAATTTACTAATTCAGCTGTGCGATTCATCCAAAAATTTCTTTGGCCAGTCGATTTATTTGCTTTTGCCATTTTATGCGATTTCATCCGAATTATGAATGACTAACGGAATGAAGAAGAGGAAGAAGAAGAAGTAGCTGCAGCAGAGAGAAGAGCGAACAATTGCCGACTTTGGCATTATGAATCAACTCAAGTAAAATAATTTCGACTGAGGTGCGGTTTATTATGCCATGAGGAAACTTTAACTACATTGAATTTTTGACTTTAGAACTCGCATTGGGGTCGTAGGAAGTCTATAAGAATCTTATATATGCACTGTTTGACTCCATGTTAACTGGGTTTACCATATTCTATAGTTTTATTTTTATTCCCTGTTCTATATTATATATGTTCTATGTTCCTTACTCTATGAGACATATTAATATAGACATATTTTTGTTTATGCTCTACATTCTATTCTATATTCTATATTCTGTATTCTGTATTCTGTATTCTATATTCTATATTCCATATTCTATATTCTATATTCTATATTCTATATTCTATATTCTATATTCTATATTCTGTATTCTATATTCTATATTCTATATTCTATACTCTATATCCCATATCCCATATCCCATATTCTATATTCTAGATTCAAAATTCTACATTCTATATTCTATATTCTACATTCTATATTCTGCACTCCATACTCTATATTCTATATTATATGTTCTTTATTATATTAGACATACTATATATTGTGTTCCATACTCTCCATTCTACATACTCTCTTTTCTATATGCCATCTACTTTCGTAAGGGAAGCAACATTCGGCTGTTTGTCCACTTTGACAGGAGCTCAAATAATCAAATTTATTTCTAGATAGAACGAAACGTAATCCTCCCTTCATATTTAACTTTTGAGGTATTCTATCTATCATACTGAATATTGATATACACATATTTCCATCTAAAACATATCTCTGTTTGCAGTTTGGCTGAATTTTTACTTCATCTTCTTCTTACTCTTCTTCCACTAATAATTTAAACAGTTTTCCGAGTTTTCATCTGTTATGAGTCCATTGAATTTACTGCATTTGTCGCAGTGTCAAAGTACTAGATATACGTACGTAAACTTTCGGGAGCACGTGGCTGTTAAAAATGCGCTGCCTGTTTGAACAGTTAAGAATCGATAAGCGCTGGGCATGATAACCGATAACAGGCGCAGCCTTGTGACGTAACAGCACCCAACGGAAGTAAAAACAACAAACAGTTTCCATGTGAATGATTATTTTACATTTACGCTCGTTCAGCGAATGAAGAGAGTATATTAGTTTGATGTGATACACATATATAACTAAATAGGAGTTCGTTTTGTAGACAGAACTTTTTAACTACCGGAAAGAAAGCCAACTAGACTGAAAACTTTGGTACATCTACCAAGTGAGGATCTACGCTATTGAGGTAAGTTTCGTGGAGTTCAGAATATTCATATACTTAGAGTAGATATATAGAGTATAGATATA